AGCAGGAATTACCCTCGTCGCTTAGCTGGAAGTATGCGCGGACGGCGTCTAGGTCCGAAGGGTTGGGGAGATCAAGGATTAAACCGACGGCGCGAAGGTTGGCCTTGGTCAGAAGCGTTTCGATATGGCGAACCTCTGATGAAAAACAGAAAGCCTTCTCGATCCTCGCCAAACTGTTGCCAGAAAACATCAGCCGGTCCTCGTTAACTGAAGGGTAAAAGATTATCAGCATATGAACAAAAAGCAAAGTCAGATAAAAGAAAGCCAAGAGGCTTACCCATATTCCCAAACGCCGCCTGCACCTGCCTTCGACGGGGCAGGCAGTCATTAGGATGAAAGTTGAAAGGCCCCCGAATCATGAAGAACATGGGCTTCCACCCGTGTGACGACGAGGGAATACCCAGTATAAGCTTCCCAAATTTGGGCTGAGACCTCCCATGACCACTCAAAAAATACCAGCCCTCACACTTGGCGACGTGGCGTAGCTTATACATAAATCGAAACTCATCCAAGGGAGTTCCATATCGAATTGCTGGTGCCATAAAATCCAGGCACCGGCGAAGCAGTACCAGAAGTTCGGCGCCAGCTGAGCGGGGGAAATGTCATAAAAATGGCAGTAATCCTTTACAAAAGGATGAACCGGGAGGGCCATCCCCGCCGTAACTGCTCTAGTATAGACTGGAAGGTATCCGGTCGGCGGCATGCTGGTTCTAAAATGCATGTCCGGGAGAAGGTATTCGAACCACCTCTCGTCGATGCATCCTTCCTTCACAGCCCAGATGATATCTTTGTTCTGGACCCTGGACGCCACAACGTCGGCTGTAAAGAAAGGCCTATCCGGGCCACCACTCGTGGCAGCCAGGGGGGCATCTACCATCGCGGCAGCCACCCCGCCTACTCAGCCCCCCGTGAAGGGGATCCGCTCAACTATCTCGTCCAAAAACCATTCGACGCTAACGAATTCGCTTCCGAAGTCATCGCCCGGTTCATATCTTTCTTCGACATCTTCAATGTCCCTCAGCACGGAATCGACGCTGGAAGACGAAGAAGACCATGAGATCTCTACCACAGAAGGGGGGTCTGGACGAACGACAGGAGAATCCTCTCGACTGGGGGAACTTTGGGCCATTGTTCTGGTGATTAAAAAGACAAGAAGCTAAGTTAAAACCCTAACGTCGAGAGGAAGAAAGGATGACTACTCTAAGCGACGACTACTCAAACGCCTCGACTTGACGTCGACCATTCATATGAGAATGGTAACAGCGAGTGCTCATAACGAAGTAAGTCTCCCTAACTTCTACATTCCGCGCATTTTTTATATATATACACATGGTTCAAACAAAAAGAAGAGGATGAGCCCGTGAGTAAGAAAAGCAAACAGAGTGTGGAAAGGCTTACCAGTGAAGAAGGATTCCCGGGAAAGTCTTGAAGTAAGAACGGCTTCGTGATACGCCTTGAAGAGCAAGACGCATGAACCGGAGGTTGGAGAGGAAGGATTCCGGTGAAGAAGGCAGCAGTCCAACAGGTGCGAAGAGGGTTTGAAGTTTTGAAAAAATGGCTCTCGAGTTTGTAGAGGGTATTTAAAGGAACGGACATCCTCGACCCTGACCGTTGGATGAAGATTTTAAAATCCAACGGCAAGGGAATCATGCCCGGATCTGACGGTGATAAAATAGGGCAGGAAACGGAGAGGTCGCGATCCAAGGGTCCATATTCGTTCTTTCGAAATAAGGCCGTACATCATCATGAGGAATCAATCGACGCGACACGTGCCCTTAACTACTCTCCGCCAAGCAACAACCCTCGACGTTTACGACTCCCTCCTATTCCGTTGGAAAGCCCAAAGCACGAAGTCCAAATTAGGGCGACGATTCCTTCTGGCGTCGACAGATCGCGCCGTCGAGATTAAGGCACAAAGATCCCTCGACCGCAGAAAGGACCGCCAAAAAGGACGATTGGGCTAAGCAGCGCTGGCGACGAGGGGAACGTTCTTTAGAGGACGTGACGGGTTGCGTGCAAAAGTCGAAAACGTCTGCAGGCATTAATTGCAAGCTCTCAAACCGCCCCACAGGGGACAGGAAAGTATTACGGAGGAGCACAGAGCCGTAATAGGAGACTAATTGGCTGAGTGAACAGTGCTGATTAGTGGGCTACGTCTGGGCCTACCAAGAACAAGCACTTGAGTGCTTCCACCTATGAAGGAAACCCCCTAAGCGAAGGAAGCCCAGTATAAAATGAGGAAGACCCCCAATAAGGAAGGGGTTGAGAGATTCCAGCAAAGAGAAAAGAGATTTAATGAGAGCAATTGTTGTAAATTGTTACCTTCTCAAAAGAAATACAAAATCACAGTAGATGTAGCTCTCATTTTATAGAGTGAACCACTATAAAATTTCTTGTTTCGTTTGTCTATGCATGATTTGGTTAACACACAAACACACATATTCAACAAATCCTCACACGTTCACTATACACAGGCCGGTAATCCAAAGGAAAATCATGAGGTAACCCGGCCGGTTTTTGTTGGCGAAATTTGACCGTCAACAGATTATGCTTTACTTATGCTCATCAAGACTAATGTTACTTTTCTCCTTTTCGAAAATAAGGTCATGATCTTCTTCTTTCTCAAAGTTTCTCTTTCAGCCGATCTTAAACAAATTATTCTGCAACCAAAATAAATAAACGGCCTCAAAGTACTTGGACGACACATTTCGAAGGATCTTCTTTCTCAAAGTTTCTCTTTGGATGACACATTTTGATGAAACACAGAGAAGGCGACGTAAATTTTTGAGTTATTTATATTTTTATATTATGTATGTTCGGTTTATTTAAAAAGTATATTATCTATTTTGATCTCATTAAATGTAGATCATCAAATTGTATTTAATAGCGGAATTTGTACAGTTTCTTGGTTAAGAGTCAATCCTGACTATCAAAATCACCAAAGTAGCCTTCAAAAAAGACGAAAAATAAAAACTCAAAATTTCAAAAATTAGGAAAAACAAATTAAAACAAAATCCCCCTGCCTAGAAGTGCTTAACGGCGTCATTTGGTCTCCCAGAGAGAGAGCGTGGGAGAGAGAGAGAGAGAGAGAGCGTGTGAGAGAGAGAGAGAGAGAGCGTGGAATCTCTAATAAGGAATCTCTAATAACTACCAAGAGCAGGAAAGAAATAAAAATTTCTACTCTAGAACCAGGTGGAGGTTCCAAAAGAGATCAGGTAAGTTATGCCAAAACATATTCACAGCATTAAATCCAAAGTAGTAATCATTTCCTTCCTAAACACGGATAAGAAGAATCGAATATGCCATACAACAGGCGAAGTTCAATGAAAAGCTCATAAAAATCCAGATAGAGATGATGGAGTTAAGTTAAGGCGGGGATTGGTTGAGGTTGAGTGGGGATGAGGCTGAGGCGGGGGCGGCGGCAAGGTGTTAGGGAGCAAAATAGGATTTAATCGGTAGGGAAGGGGAGCGAATGGTAGGCTTGCTAGTGCGCATCTCGCTCGTCGTAAAGACTGTCGAGGGGTTCGTGTTGTTGAATAAACAGAGAGATCCAAGGGAGATCTTGTTGTTGCGTTGCGAGATCCGGGTAAGGGAGTGTCGTTGCGCAACTGGCCGAGGAGGGCAGTACCGTCACGAGATTGTCTAGATGTGATGTGGGAGTGGCTGTTGTGCATCTGGGCGGGAAGGGTTATCACCGTTGCCTGGGGTGGTGGCCTTTCGGAAGGGGGGCACATTTGACTTTTGGGAGTGAGAGCGGAAACACCTTCTGGTTTTTTTTACGTAGTACTGCTTCAATTTACTTTAAATAATTTTAAATTTTACTATTTATTAAATTTATTGGAATTGTCCCTGGTCAAACACTTGAAAAGTGCACTAGAACGACAGTTGTATAATTCTACATAAATCGTGTATATTTATATATAAATTATGTATATTTACATGTAAAGTCGTGTATATTTAACATGAAATACAATAAATCAGTCAATATACATATTTTTATGCTATGTGTTCACTAATTGCTATAAAAAATACATGTTTTGATGATTAATATACATTGTCGTTTCTTATAACCTAACATGTAAATATACACGACTTTATACTAGAGACCTTACCTAAATTTATTATTTACTTCCTTTTTATTTATATTTTTATATTTTTAAAATAATAGAGTTTTATTTTTTTCTCAATCGTATTATTGGTATTTTTCAGGTCAAAAATCATGTGCTCATTTAAAGGTATAATTTTTTAATAAATTTAAAATATAAAAGTATATCAATGTTGTGCTGTGACGTAAAAATAATAAGCGCGTTTAGAACTGACTTGAAAACATTTTTCATATTTTTGAAAGAAAAAAAATAAAAATAATGTAAAAATTGTATTTGGGAGAACATCGTATAGAAACACAATCTGTTTAGTTCGCTGATTCGAGTTTTTAATTTAAGTTGAAATGTGACATTATGTGAGATTTTTTTACTGTAGTAAAAAAAGTTAGATATGACTGTTTCTGAGAGTTTTTTACTGTAGCAAAACTCAAATTTTAAATTCGAATTGTTAAAGTGAACGTGGTCAAAATGAAAACGTTTTTGTCTTTATCCCAAAAAGTGAGACATTTATGAAAACAATAACGTTTTCTTTTCATTTTCTCCTAGGCTATTTTCTTTCCTTCACCAGTTCACCTCTTCTCCATTCTCTTTTTCTTCGTTCTCTTCTCTTTGATTTCGTCGGTCTCCCCCTTCTCCGTTCTCTTCTCTTTGATTTCTCCGGTCTCCCTTTTCTCCGTTCTCTTCGAGCTAATTTCTCCGGTCTCCCTTTGTAAACGTTGGCCCTATTTCTAAAAGTCAGTCTCTTCTCCTCCCTCTTTCCTTATATTTGGTGGTCTTTTCTCCTTCAATAAACTAAATCTCCGGTCTCAGATTTCTCCAGTCTCCCGCTTTCTAAACCGTAGGCTGCTCGGTGGAATCACAAGAAGGTGGATGTGGGTTTTTGGTTAGAGTTTGAGAAGATATATGATTCTCTGGTTAGGCACTTCACCAACTCTGTTCCGTACCTACTCCCCCGAATCAACCGAGGTATGCCCATTAATCTAGTGATTTAAGTATTTAAAATGGTCTTTTTCTGATTTTCTGATGATGTATTGGATTATTGCCGGTTGGGTGTTTTTAAGAAGTTCATATTTGTGTTCGGAGTGTTTTTTTTTTTTTTTTTTTTTGCTGTTTGCTGATATGTGATGATGTTCATATTTGTGTTCTTGGTTATCTTCTGATGTTTGCTGGTATTGAGCTTAGGCCTGTAGTTCCTTATTTTGGCTGCTAGTCATTTAATGCTTAAAACCAAAGGTTAAGTCAGTCGTTTGTCTCACTTCTAGCCAAATAAGTCAAATTTGACGGTTGTTGTTGAGTTAGACACACGGTAGTAAAATAATGGGCAGAAGATGGGGAGCCTATTTTTGGATTAAGTACAAACTATAATGCTTAATATGCATTGACACTGTTATGAATCAGTTTGTGTCTTAAGAGAGCTGGTAGTTATGAGTTCGTAGCCAAAGACAAATGGAGCTAGGAACTTTTTATTCTTGAGTTAACTATACACGTCTTGGTCCAAGATCTGTTATAGAAACTATTGTGTGGGAAAATGTGACGGACACATGGACGAACGATAATGCAACACGTGGCCTTGACTACTCCCCACCAAGCAAAAACCCTCGACGTCTACGGACCCCTCCTATTCCGCTGGAAAGCCCAAAGCACGAAGTCCAGATTAGGGTGACGATCCCTTATGGCGTCGACAGATCGCGCCATCAAGATTGAGGCACGAAGATCCCTCGACCGCAGAAAGGATCCAAAGAGGGCGATTGGGCTAAGCAGCGCTGACAACGAGGGGAACGTTCTTTAGAGGACATGACGGGTTACGTGCAAAAGTGGAAGACGTCTGCAGACATTAATTACAAGCTCTCAAACCGCCCCACAGGGGACAGAAAAGTATTACGGATAAGCACAGAGCCGTAATAGGAGACTAATTAGCTGAGTGAACAGTGCTGATTAGTGGGCTACTCTGGGCCTACCAAGGAATAGCACTTGAGTGCTTCCACCTAGGAAAGAAACCCCCTAAGCAAAGGAAGCCCAGTATAAAAGGAGAAAGACCCCCAGTAAGGCAGGGGTTCAGAAATTCCAACAAAGAGAAAAGAGATTTAATAAGAGCAATTGCTATAAATCGTTATCTTCTCAAAAGAAATACAAAATCACAGTGGATGTAGCTCTCATTTTATAGAGTGAACCACTATAAAATTCCTTGTGTCGTTTGTCTATGCATGATTTAGTTAACACACAAACACACATATTCAACAAATCCTCATATGTTAACTAGACACACTGGCCGGTAATCCAAAGGGAAACTAAGAGGTAACCCGGCCAGTTTTTGTTGGCAAAATTTGACCGTCAATAATTGGCGACTCCGCTGGGGACGAAAGCGTTCGACCCCCAACAACATAGTTATAAACCACCATCCATCCAGGGAATAGCGCGATAGAAGAAGATCTACGCCTGGTCAGAAATGAAGTCCCACCTCCAGACGCACCACGGCCGGATCCGATGCAGATGCAGGCCCAACTAACCACTCTAACCGAGCTGGTACGTGGGCTAATGACCATGGTTGAGCGCTTAGATGGAAGGAACTCCATGCCGCCAATAGAAGACGCCCCGAGGCCGCAGGGACCTGCCATGGCAGGAGATCCGAACCACGGTGACCACCCACATATCCAAGAGGGAACCGGAGATAGTGAGAATCACCGGGGCCCTCCTAGGCCTCGGCCTTCCCAATCCTCCGGCAGCCGTTTGGTGGCCGCCGGACTCCGAGCTCCCGAGGACCGGGTACCGAGAGGTCCGGGAAATCCCGAGGTACTATCCCAGAATCCAGGTGGAAACCCGCCAGGAGACTCAGGATCAGTACAAGCAGGCGGCCAGGCCCGAGGCGGACCCAACGCTCAGAGGGTAGAAGTGTCGAGAGTAGCCGGCTCGGCCATTTCGATAGAAGAAGCACGCGCCATCATGGAACGTATGGCCAGCCTGGAGCAAAAACTGACAGGGGACGTGGCGGGCCTAAAAAAGAATATAGGTCGTGTGGCTGAGGTGGTAAACGTCGATATCACTCCCAGCCTCACACATGACCATCCGTTTACCGAAGAAATAATGGCGCCCCCTCTCCCCGATAAATACAGGTCACCGTCGATCCCACCGTATGATGGGCGAGGAGATCCCGACGACCATTTGGAGATGTATACAGGGCACATGCTCTTGCACGGTTATGCCGAGGAGATCATGTGCCGAGCCTTTCGAAACCATTTGACGGATTCTGCCCGAAGATGGTTCCGGACGCTGAGGCCAAACTCTATCTCGAGCTGGGACGAGCTGAAGGAAGCATTTTCCCTCCAATTCATAGGGGTCAAAAAGTACGTCCCCCCAAAGCAGAATCTGACAACGATATACCAAAAGCCGAACGAGTCACTAAGGGAATGGCTCATGAGATATGGGGAGGCTGTCGCCGCCACGATGGATATAACAAATAGAGAGGCCTTGATGGAGGCCCTATCTAGCATGAAGAAAATTACCCCATTCAAAAGAAAGCTGAACCAGAAGCCTCCATCCAGCTACAGGGAGTTTTTGGCGCGAGCGCAGGGGTACATCAACGCCGAAGAGGCGGACGCAAACGACCCCGAGCATAAGTCCAACAAGAATAAAGGAACCGAACAAGGGTCGACGCCTGTGAAACAGGATGGGAAGAAGCGTCGAGGTGGAGGAAACGGAGACAAGCAGCCCACCGCAACGACGAGCGCTCTAGAAGCCAAGAAGCCAAAACAAGAGGATACCCGTAAGCCTCGACTGTTCCAAAAATACGATTCCTACCATGAGTTAACGGTAGGAGTCGAGGAGGTCTTCAATCAAGTCGGCCGCAGGAACTTGTTGCTTCAACCAGAACCGATGAAGTCAGATCCCAGCCGAAGGAACTAGAAGAAATTATGTAGGTTCCACGGCAATGTCAGCCACCACACCAACGATTGCACCGACCTTAAGGATGAAATCGAAAGAGTGATCCGCGGGGAAAGGTTACAAGAGTTCAGGGCCGAACGAAGACCTCGAAATGACGGCCATGGTGGGCAAAATGACGGTCGAAGCCGAGAGGAGAACCAGCACCTAGAGGATCGCGAGCCCGCCGGCGTCATACGGACTGTCCTCGGCGATCCTTATATAGGAGGAAACTCAAGGAAGACTCAGAAGAACTACGCCCACGAGGCCAGAAGGGTTTATCAGGAGCGATTCTGGAGCGTCTCCGCGGTGAAAATCCTGAGGTACAGTCACACCGACATGGCCTTTAACGAGGATGACGCCAGTGGGGTTCATTTCCCCCACAACGACGCCTTGGTGGTGGAAGCCATGATAGGAAATCACACCGTATGCAGAATCCTGGTAGACAATGGGAGCTCGGTGGACCTCATATACTCCGACTGCTTGGAGAAAATGGGGATCCAAAATGAACAATTGGAAAAAACCTCAAGGCTACTATATGGTTTCACTGGAGACTCCGTCATTCCCCAGGGGACCATCCGGTTGCCTATAACCGCCGGAGAGAAACCCTGACAGGCTACCACAATGGCCAACTTTGTGGTTATAAAAGGGGGCTCCCAATACAACGCCGTGATTGGAAGACCAACCCTTCAGGCGCTAAGGGCCATAACTTCCGTTTACCACCAAAAGGTCAAGTTCCCTACCCCAAATGGCGTGGGCGAGATAAAGAGCAACCAGTACGAAGCTAGGGTTGCATACTCTGATGCCCTGCGCGGATATGACCAGCCAGGAAGACAGGAGGCAAGGATGGTTCACCAGAGCCTCGTCGAGGACATAGACCCCAGGATCCAAGAGGAAGTCACATGGTCTCAACCCGTCGAGTAGTTGGTGGAAATCCAAGTTGATGAAGGCGAGTCCACAAAAGTCCAAGGTACAGTCACACCGACGTGGCCTTTAACGAGGATGACGCTAGTGGGGTTCATTTCCCCCACAACGACGCCTTGGTGGTGAAAGCCATGATAGGAAACCACACCGTGTGCAGAATCCTGGTAGATAATGGGAGCTCGGTGGACCTCCTATACTCCGACTGCTTGGAGAAAATGGGGATCCAAAATGAACAATTGGAAAAAACCTCAAGGCTACTATATGGTTTCACTGGAGACTCCGTCATTCCCCAGGGGACCATCCGGTTGCCTATAACCGCCGGAGAGAAACCCTGACAGGCTACCACAATGGCCAACTTTGTGGTTATAAAAGGGGGCTCCCAATACAACGCCGTGATTGGAAGACCAACCCTTCAGGCGCTAAGGGCCATAACTTCCGTTTACCACCAAAAGGTCAAGTTCCCTACCCCAAATGGCGTGGGCGAGATAAAGAGCAACCAGTACGAAGCTAGGGTTGCATACTCTGATGCCCTGCGCGGATATGACCAGCCAGGAAGACAGGAGGCAAGGATGGTTCACCAGAGCCTCGTCGAGGACATAGACCCCAGGATCCAAGAGGAAGTCACATGGTCTCAACCCGTCGAGTAGTTGGTGGAAATCCAAGTTGATGAAGGCGAGTCCACAAAAGTGCTAAAAATGGGCTCGTGCTTAGCCCCATCACTTAAGGTTAAGATCGAAAACTTCCTCAGGAAGAACTTAGATGTCTTCACCTGGAATCATTCCGACATGGAAGGGATCGACGCCAAGGTAATATATTATTCCCTAAACGTCGACCCCTCATATCCGCCCAAGCGCTAGAAACGTCGACCGATGAACCCCGAGAGGTATGAAGCGCTGAAAGAAGAGGTCGACAAGCTGATCAATAATAGGTTCATCAGGGAGGCCCATTACCCACGTTGGGTATCAAACCCCGTTCTAATGGTCAAACCCAACGGGAACTAGAGGACATGCGTCGACTTCAGCGATCTCAACAAAGCCTGCCCAAATGATGGCTTTCCACTCCCTCGAATAGACCAAATGGTCGACGCCACGGCGGGATATGAGATGCTGAGCTTTATGGACGCCTAC